AGACACAGTGAGAGAGGGAACACAAGCAGGGGGAGTGGGAGAGGGAGAAGTAGGTTTCCCCCGGAACAGGGAGCCCGATGCTGGGCTCAATCCCAGGACCCTGGGAGCATGACCTGAGCCGAAGGCAGGCGCTTAACGACTGGGCCACCCAGGCACCCCTGAATTATATTTTTTAAATGGGTGAATTATATCTCACTGAAACTGTTAAAAAGAAATACATTTTTTAAATTGAAAAAGATGAAATTTGAGAATTATAGATGATTGGCTCATTCTGATTCCTTAGAAAAATCAAGAATAAATTATTAGACATAAGGGAGACATTTAGACAAGAATGTAGTGATCTTTGAGAAACTGTAGGCATTACTAAGAAGAAGTTACCAAAATACACCCAGGATCTAGTGTATTGCTCTGTTCTGTTCACTTGTCTGATTATATTCTCTCTCTCTCTCTCTCTCTCTTTTTTCCCCACTGGAACAGACTTCTAAAAGTTTTCATTTTGTGCTCTGCTGCTATATCACTTTCCAGTAGCCGGCTGACAGAGACTCCCTTCTCCTGCAGTTTATCTTCTGATATATCACCTCAGATTCTCTGTACGTCCTACCTTGCAGAAAGTGGTCACTTTCCTATTTGTAGAATTACAGCAATTCTTTTTTTAGACTCCAGTTAAGTCCACAGGTGTTCAGAATGATTTGATAGCTATCTAGCTGAATTCTAGGGACTAGACAAAACTAGGGTCCCCTACTCCTCTGCCATCTTCCTCCCTCCCTCCCAAAACTTCTTCTTTTATTTATTTATTTATTTATTTATTTATTTATTTATTGCTGCTCATGTGTTTTTATTTTGTTTCATATTGTGTTGTGTTGTTTGCTTTTTTTTTATTCTTATGTTAATCCCCATACATTACATCATTAGTTTTAGATGAAGTGTTCCATGATTCATTGTTTGTGCATAACACCCAGTGCTCCATGCAGAATGTGCCCTCCTCAATACCCACCACCAGGCTAACCCATCTTCCCACCCCCCTCCCCTCTAGAACCCTCAGTTTGTTTTTCAGAGTCCATCGTCTCTCATGGTTCGTCTACCCCTCCGATTTCCCCCGCTTCATTCTTCCCCTCCCGCTACCTTCTTCTTCTTCAAAACTTCTTTTCCTAAAAGAAAGCTGTATACTCTTTATTTTCTTTGCTGAACAAAACATGAAGATCCAGACATAAGTTCGTTATCCTCTTACACCTGGCTTATATATGAATTATAGATTTAATTATATATACTATTACTTCCAATTTCCCTATCTAGCGTTAAATTCTCATAATAAAATAGTTTGAGAAACAGAATTGCTGAGTCTTAATAATTTTTAAGGGATCTGGCTTATATTGTCTCTTTGTGGTATTATGTTTTTCTCTCCTAGTATGGTCTGTTATAAAAGGAACAATGCATATATATTTAATTTGAGGGGTATATACAATTTACAGAAATTCAGATCCTTTTTCTCATTCCAGATATTAACATGAAAATTTAGTCTCCTTTTAGTGTAGGGTTACTTAGATCCTACTCCGCATATCCTCCCTGATTACATGCATTCTTTTATTAAATAATATTATTGACTACTCTGTGCCAGACACTGAGATAAGCACTGGCAATATAAAGATAATTAAGACATATATCTGTAGCTTGAAAGCAACTTAAACATCTATTGGGACGGTACTGGTTAAATAAAGTACAGTACATTTACTAGTAGACTATTCCTCAAATGCTAAAAATAATGAAGTTTATTTTATACTGGTATGGTACAGTCTCAAAGCTTTGTTGTTCAGGGGCAAAATATAAGGGAATGTATATACTATATGACCACTTGCATAAGAAAAAAATATATGTATACATACATACATACATACATACATACATATACCTGTTGGACTAGATTAACTGTGGAAAAATTCAGAAGAAACTGTAACAAGGGCCTAGGAAAAAATTGGATGACTGGAGGACAAGGGTAGAGGAGGGAAACTTATTTCTCATTGTATACTTTTCTGAGCCTTCTGTATTTTGAATGGTATTCATTAATTCCCTATTCAAAAATAATACATTTTAAAAGAAAAATGTAGTCCCACCCTCAGAAACCTTAGCATACAGGCAAGACAAATATATAAGAAATAATGTAATAATAAATATATATATTGTGCACTATGGTAAAATATGTACCTGAAAGAAGGGAGAGGTCATTTTTCTCTAGAGCAGCAATGGATGGGAGGTCAGGGAGTGCTTCATAGAGGAGGTTACTTGAGGAGTAGTAATAGATTAAGGGTTGACTGGTTTCTCCCTGACACTCTGAGGAGGGGCAGCAGCAACATAGTTATAGACAGAAGACATAACCATCTCCTGGAACCTGCTAAACTTACATTTACTACTACAGAACCCAATGCTAATTCTTGGTATATCTGCCAGCTCCATTTCACCAGCATCTGAACTATATACATTTCTCACCTTTCCTCTTTCAGTCCCTCCCTCCCTCCCTCCCTCTCCCTTTCTACCCCTCTTCCTCTCTACCCCTCTCCCGCTCTCCCTGTTTCTCTCTTTTTTTGGTAAGATAAGGGTATGTATATCAACAAATTATGATTCAGTCGCAATTACATTAATTTTTTTATTGGGCAAAGTTGTTGGAGGTAAACCCAAACTCTGTTATTGAAAGAAATATCAGATGTTGCTTAGAGTTGTATGTTAGCACACATTTACAATAATATACCTTTTGTCTGGGCATGCTCACATGAACAATCTTCCCATAGGTGGCAGAGTTACTTCTTTTGAATGGAGCCGATCCGTTACTTAGAAGTGACGGTGGAAAGTGTCCTTTGGATGAGGCCAAAGATTCATGTATGAAGCGTCTCCTTGAGAAATATATTCCTAAACACCAAAAACCAGGTAAGATTAAACTGCCCTGTTATATCTGTTTATCATATTCATAGAGAGTTACAGAAATTGAATTTAGAATTATAGAAATTAAGTTTCTTTTCCTTCTTAGTTTTGAGAAAATCCATCCAGTGGTGTCCTTGCCCCATTCCTTTAATAAAGCACACTGACTTGTTTGCAAGTGCACATAATGGTAGGTCTCTAAAAGAACAAAGAGAACAAAGAGAAATAATATCAAATGTACTTTTCACTGGTGCTTTGCATTGCAAACAGTTAAGAAAACTTTTATAAAGTTCTTTTTTTCCCTTACAATTTTTTGGGTGAATAACATGATATGATGTAAATTATATTTGGCTGTATCTTTCTCGATGAGTATGGCCAGGATTGTTTATTTCCATTTCTATTCCCTAACAATCTTTTCTTATGGCTGTATTTTTACCCTGTCATCCATTACACTGGTAAAAATTGAACTACAGGGCGCCTGGGTGGCTTAGTTGGTTAAGTGACTGCCTTCGGCTCAGGTCATGATCCTGGAGTCCTGGGATCGAGTCCCACATCAGGCTCCCTGCTCAGCAGGGAGTCTGCTTCTCCCCCTGACCCTCCCCACTCTCATGCTCTCTCTATCTCATTCTCTCTCTCAAATAAATAAATAAAATCTTTATTAAAAAAAAAATTAAACTACAAAAGAACTCGATTTATGGTTGTCAATAAGAAGAATTTACATATATGGCACTTTCTTTATATTCTCCTTAATGTGTCTGTTAGATTTTTGGTAAGATCACAGCATTCTTCTGCTCAAGACCCTGCAGTGGCTCTCCATTTAATCTAGAAGAAATGTCAGTATCCTTATAGTGGCCTACAGGCCCCTATATCAGCTGTCCACCCTAATTAATTTCTTCTCCTACCATTCTCTACCTCTGTCACTAGACTTCAGTCACACTGGCCTCCTTGCTGTTCTTCAGATGGGCCTCCTCCACCTCCTTCAAGTCTTAGTTCAAATGTGATCTTCTCAGGGAGGCCTAGACCATCCTAGTTAATACTGCTGCAACCTGCCTCCTTCCCACCCTCACTGTACTAGTTATCTATCACTATGCAACAATTACCCAAAATTTAGCATCTTAAAACAACATTTATTATCTCTCAGAGTTTCTGAGGATTACAAGTCTGAAAGCCTTTCAAGTGAGTAACCAGTTCTGGATCAGGGTCTCTAATGGGTTGCAGCCAAGCTCTTAGACAGATGGTCATCTCGAGGCTCAGCTAGGACAGGAAAATCCACTTTCAAGCTCACTCACATGGTTCTTGGCAGGCCTCAGTTCCTCACTGCTTGTTAGCTAGAGGCTTCAGTTACTTGCCACATGAGCTTTTTCCTTAGGCCTGCTGACAGCCTGGCAGCTGGCTCAGAGCAAGTGATGCAAGAGAGAGAAGGCACCCAAGACAGAGGCCACAAGCTTTCTATAACTTAATCTTGGAAGTGATATACAACCAGTTCTGCCATATTCTATTTGTTCTAAGTAAGTCACTAAGTCTGGGAAGTTCCACCTTTTGAAAGGAGGAGTATCAAAAATTTTATGAACATATTATTCAAACTGCCACACTCATTCCAATCCCTCTTACCCTACTCTACTATTCTATTTATCCTTTTCCCATAGCACTTAACACCTTTTAACACATTGGACAGTTTGTTTATTTTTTATTCTCAGTCTTTCCCCAAGAATCTAAGCTCCATGAAGGAAAGGATCTTTATTTAGTCTGGTGATGAGTACTAAAATGCCTTGTATACAGTAGGCATTCAGTAAATATTTGTTGAATAAGTAGTGTGTTAGTCCTTTTAAACACAACAAACGAAACAAATTCTTTACCTTCAAGAGATGTGTATGTGCTTCATTCAATTTTATTAAACTATATTTTATATTTTTAAATATTTATGTATTTGAGAGAGAGAGAGCACGAGGCAGGAGCAGAGGGAGAGGGAGAAGTAGACTCCCCGCTGAGCAGGGAGCCTGACATGGGGCTCTATTCTAGGGCCCCGGGATCATGACCTGAGCCGAAGGCATATGCTCAACTGACTGAGCCACCCAGGCACTCCATTAAACTATATTTTAATAAAATTTTCCCTAAAGAGGTAACTGTTTAAATGCTATTGACTAAGGACTAAGACTTGGATTAAAACAGCCTACTTTAGAGGGGAAGAATGAAGGGGGGGAAATCGGAGGGGGAGACGAACCATGAGAGATGATGGACTCTAAAAAACAAACTGAGGGTTCTAGAGGGGAGGGGGGTGGGAGGATGGGTTAGCCTGGTGATGGGTATTAAAGAGGGCACGTTCTGCATGGAGCACTGGGTGTTATGCGCAAACAATGAATCATGGAACACTACATCAAAAACTAATGATGTAATGTATGGTGATTAACGTAACAATAAAAAACAAAACAGCCTACTTTATAATAAAGAGATAACATCATTGATAATTAAAGTCCACCAAGAGGTAATTAATTAATGGTTCTTTAGAACAAAAGCCTTCTTCCCCTTTAGTCCAATCTCATCAGAAAATAAGAGGGACAGACTCCACCTTGTTGAGGCCAGGTCTATAAAAGCACATTGAGATAGATTATTATATTCGTATTTATATAAACTGTATAGATTATTGCACTCATATTTACATTTCAAGCTATATGAAAAATTGCAGATATTCAGTTGGAGGCAAAAGTATGTGTATTTTTATGTTTTTTTGTTTTGATAATCTGATTAATTGCTTGACTTCTCTATTTTATGGTAGCATGCATTGTTTTGCTCTGCTGAGAGTGCTTTCTCCAGCATTTTAGCCCTTTCTCCAAATCCAGAATCTCCTGTTCACCATTGCCCACTTCTGACCTATACTTACCCAAGGGAATTTCATTCAGGGAAGGAATCCCAAGCCTTTCTTCTTAGGAGTTAGCTCCCACTCTTCTTTAGGGAGGCAATTTACGAGGTGGGCTGTATTATCGTGCTTCATCAGGTGGTTTGAATATTTCTTAAGTTTGAACTTTCAAAGTCTGTCATTAATTATCAGCTTACTTATCAATATAAATGAAAAAATTAGTTTACTTAAATAAAGAATATCAAACAGAGTATTTGTTTTTAAATTTCAGTTGAAGAGCTTTTAATTATGGGAATGATGGATAAAGGACCTTCCTCATGCAATATATATTTGGTGCTTTTCTGTTGTAGAGTACAATACATCTACTTTGGTATAGGACAAGAGTTCATTCTTACTAATTTTATAGCCTGGGGTAAATTAACACTCTCACTTTTCTCATCTGTAAATGTGGGCTTATAATATCTACTCCTCTACCTACATATCTGTGGGATTGTTATTGTGAGGATTAGAGTTGATGTATGTAAAATACTTCAATACAGTATCTTACATATGACAGAGCTTGGAGCAACAGAGTGAAAAGAATTACAGCTACGTCACTAAAATTCACCACTTCAGAATTTATATCTGTGTAGTTTGTTTTTTTTTAAGTTGGTTATAATAGAGCATATAGACTCTTAAAACTGAGATGGGCATGAAGGAGGGCACGTGGTGTAATGAGCACTGGGTGTTATATACAATTGATGAATAACTGTGCTCTACATCTGAAACTAATGATATACTATATGTTAATTAATTGAATTTAAATAAGATGAACAGAAAAAAAAAAGATGTTAGTTGAAAGATGCTTTCTATACAGAAAACAAAACAAAGTGAGAGGGGAGAAGAGCCCCTTTCTTGCTTCCAGATTCTCTTAGGAACCATGCCCCAAATGGTGGTTCCTGTAAAACATTCTTCTGCTTTTTTATTTAAAACATTTTTATTTATTTATTTTTTTTAAAGATTTTATTTATCTGAGAGAGAGACAGAGATAGCGAGAGAGAGCAAGAGTGGGGACGAGAGGGAGAAGTAGGCTCCCCACTGAGCAGGGAACCAGATGCAGGGCTCAATCCCAGGACCCTGGGATCATGACCTGAGCCAAAGGCAGACGCTTAGCCCACTGAGCCACTCAAGTGCCCCCTGCTCTTCTATTTAAGAACCAAAGTTAGGAGAAGGCACACAGTCCTTTTTGCTCTTGAAAAATAATAATAACAAAATTAATGATGGAGCATTTTCTTTGTGCCAAGAACTCCTCTAAAGTCTTTACATGGATTATCTTATTTAATCCTCATAACAATTCTATAAGATAAGGACTGTTACTACTTTGATTTTATGGAGCTGAGGCAGAGATACTAAGAAACTTAACCCAGGGTCACCCAGCTGTTAAGCGAATGAGTGACGATAGAAACTCAGGAATCGGTTCCAGAGACTGTGCTCCCAGCTCCTTTGCTTCATTGAAGGACATTCTGTGTGTCAACTCTCCTGCATGAGGTGTATAGGTGAATGCCAAGCCTCATTATGTACATTATAATTTGATTGCTGTCATGAAAACTACTCCCAAGAAATAAAATGTTCTTTTTCCCAGCTACATCTCTGTTAAAATATTTTTAAATTTCTAGTTCATAATGTATTTAAAGAATTTTCATTCATTTATTCCTTCCTCTATTAAATAATCATTGAATACCTCCTATGTGCAAAGCACTGTTTCTAGGTTTTTATCTGTTGTGGCCAAATGCATATGTAGGTAACTAATTCCACCTCTAGTATTTAAAAGAGACACTAAAGTACTTTTTTTTTTTATTATCAACCTAGGTATATTTTATTCAAACCGTCTTTTTTTTGTCTTACTCATTCTCAAGAGCGACCTTTTCCCTGCATGTATGTTTCACTTTTAAGAGAATGAAGCATTCAGGGACGCTTGGGTGGCTTAGTTGGTTAAGCGGCTGCCTTCGGCTCAGGTCATGATCCCAGGGTCCTGGAATCGAGTCCCACATGGGGCTCCTTGCTCAGCGGTGAGCCTGCTTCTCCCTCTGCCTGCCGCTCTCCCTGCTTGTGTTCTGTCTTTCTCTCTGACAAATAAATAAATAAAATCTTTAAAAAAATAAAGATAAAAAAATAAAGAGAATGAAGCATTCAAACTAGAACCTTATTAAGCAGACATATTAGGAAATGATAATCCAGTAAATTATGAAAGAATCTTGCTTTCTAAAAGTAGTTTGCCAACAGTTGTGTTTCTGGATATATCTATGGGGAATGTTAAAATAGTGAGTTTATTGCCAGCCTTTGGTATTACCTTGTTGGAGCCATATTGCTTTTCCTACAGAAATGTTTTCAGCTTTCTCAAGATAGTATGGGGCTTCTAAAACATAGGAGAACTATCAGTTATAGAATGTTATATGTGCCAATTTGAATGGAAAATGTTTGCATAATTTCACTTACTTCTCTGGTTTTCTCAGGGCAAAGGACAGGTGGGTTTTAGAAATCTAGAGTCTGACCACTGGAGGCTATTTTCTTTGATTTTCTCTTTTTGTTTACAGCTCAAAAGAACAGCACCGACCCATTAGACATAGAGGATGCACACCAGCACAAGGTATAGCTCTGTTTAGCAATAAACATGTTTATGGAATGAACCTGCTACTTATTTTATAGATAATCAGAGTGGAAGGAAAGATGCCGAAGCATTCATTCATCAGGAATAGTGACTTCACCTTTACTTTTAAGAAACTTAAGAATAATTACATGAGAATCAGAGGGTTCTGGGCTGTTAGTTTGCGAAGCAATTGAGTAAATATAGCTTGTCTCGGCACACTGACGTATCAGTAGCCATTTCCTTTGTCCTCCTCTTCATGGAGCCAGGAGGTTTATCAACCATGTCGAATTTCCTCTGGCCTAAGCACAGTACAAGAGCCAAAGGTGTTGATCCATTCCTTCAAATTTTATATGGTGGGCAGTTACTCTTCATCTGGTGCTTGAGTTGTGGTGAGTGAGAGGAAGTGGTGTCCCTGTTTTAATCTTAGCAGCCCACAATAATTTTTTCATGCAAATCAGTTTGGGAGCATATCTCTCTTCTTGTTTTTAAATTCCTTCTTCTGCTGCCCTACCTATAGTCTGTCACAGACACTAGATGAAAGAACTCTCTTAATTCTAGCTGTATCTATATAACAATTAGGAGAGGAGAGGGTCTTGAAAGCATTCTTGTTTGATTATGCTTAAAGCCCATAAAAATTAAGTAGATTAAATTTTTTTTATGCTTAATGAGATTAATACTGCTAAATACTGGCAAAAACAAATTAAAATGTGAAGCAGAAAATACAGATTAGTACACATACTGAGTCTTAGTCTACTACATTTGCCTTTTTCTATTAGTCTTTTTAAAATATCAGGTTGTATATATCCCATCAGGCCCTGTGGTTAGATCAAATCACAAAATTGAATGGAGTAATGGTTTGATTTATCAATAATCCTGAATTAATTGAGTATAGAACTACAGCTGAAAATTAAAGCTAACTATATGTTTTATTTCTTTAGAAACCAAAATTCAGTTCTAAAAATCTCATTGGGTTCGTTTGTAATGAAAATTCCAACAGACAGAAGTCAGAACTTGAAAAAGTTGATAAAGGAAGTAAAGGAGGATTATTTATAAATAAAGAAGATGTATATGAACCTTACCAAAAAGATTCCAAAGACACAAAATTTGGTAAATCCAAGCATAAACAATCAACTCTTAACCAAATACACTCTACTAGGGGACTCAGAAAGAAGAGTCTTCAGAATGTCAAAGGTCCTAACACAAATGTGTCTAATGATAAAGGAAGAAGAAACACACAACATAAAAGAACTCAAGTGGATGATGCAAAACAAGAAATACACATTCCAAGAAAGATAATAGCTCTTTCTTCTTTCAGAAGAAGAAACAGATTGGTTAATGGTCAGCAAGATAATCTCCAAGCCTTTGATGACCTTCCAGAAAAGTCACATAAACTTTTTAGCCCACCTCTGTCAAGCCTGAAAAATGGATTAGGTAACAATATTGAGGCTTGTTCAATTCCCAGAGAGACACATACCCAGAGCCTAGATTTATCAGATAATCAAGAAATAAAATTCTTAGAATCCACTGACCAAGAGGAAGCTGTTCTTTTCTCAGGACTTTCCTTACAGAAAGAAATCAAGTTACCACTTGTTACTACAGATCAGCAGTCTCATACTCACCAAGAACAGCAGCACATTAGCCCTTATAAATCTCCTGAAAACAGTAACTCAGGTCAAAAAGGTGAGAGCCTTAATAAGTGGGAACATTCTTTTGCATCCTTTATAAAGGAAAATTTTAATAATGTTGATGATGATGATTGCTTTACCTCTGAGAAGACTATAGCATGTAAAAGACCGGTATGTTTTACAGGTTGCAAAAACCACTGTAGTTATAACGAGAATATAACAAATACAGAAGAAATGGATTTTCATCAGTTTTTCCCTTCTGAAAACCATTTTTCACAGGAAAATGAATTAAAAGCATACAGTCTAATCATACTTCCACAACAGGAAGCTGTTAATCTTTCTGATTCAGATAATACAATAGGTCCTGAACAACATATTGCCAATTATGAACAATGCGCATGTGAAACTTCTTTTGATCACTCACATGGCAATCCTGAGCATACTTCCCTAGCTTGTCCAAGAACATTTTCAACACAGGAAGCTTCAAAGTTGACTAGTCATGTGAAGCTATTCAAAAGGTCTCAAGATTTTAGCTCCAGAGCACCGACTCCTTTAATGGATCAAACAGATACACATATTGTGGAAAAGGTAAATGAGGGAGAAGACACTAAAAGGAATTACAATGATGAAAGCCAGAAAACAAGTTCTTCAAATGGGCCTTCATCCACAGTTGTTAATTCTCAAGTAATAGAAACAACTACAGTTAAAAAAAGGAAACAAGATCTTCCAGAGAGCAAAACCATACATGATACATTTTTTTATTCCACTGACAATACCAGTAAAGAATTGGCCAACATCTCACAACTTAGACAGAAAGAAGAAAAGGAAATTTCTCATAAACCAGGTATTAGTAGTATATTGCTTGCTTTGTACACATCTCCTGTAGATTTACTTATTTTATAGAAATTTCTAACTGAATTCCGCTGAACTTAGCCAAACTGACAAGAATGAGGACATGTGGACTATAATTTAGGGATATTATTAGTTAAGTAGTATTGTTTACTTTGAAAACCAAACCGTTATTATCAAAGATTGTTGCTAAATTGATATTTACAGAAGTTAATAAACAATATTTCTACCAATTTTTATGTTTCTTTTTAATATAGCACTTATTTAATATCAGTTAACCTAACATTTCCATAGCAGGAAATTGTTAGCTCTGTTGATTTCAGTGATTCACTGTATTCCCATCAGAATTGCATCCAGCAAACTTTGTTATATAAAAACATTTTTTATTTATTTATTTTTAAAGATTTTATTTTTAAGTAATCTCTATACCCAATTAGTGCTCTAACTCACAACTCTGAGATCAAGGGTCATATGCTCTACCAACTAAGGCAGCCAGGTGCCCCTAAAAGCATTTTTAAAGGGTTTCATTCCCTTAAAAAATAAATAAATAAAACAAAATAAAATTTTAAAAAAATCAATCCAGCTAGGAACAGAAATTTGGAACAGTTATGAGGCTAGACTCTTTTCTAATCATATAACCAGTAACGAGAACTGCAACACTGAGGTTGCAAAATGTTTGTTTTTCAGATGAGGAATTAACTAATAATATCAATGGAGATGAAAGCACTATGAGAAATGGTGAGAAAAAAGAAAAAACAAATTCTGAAATTTGCATGTCTAATATCCAAGAACACAAAAAAGTTCAGAATTTCAGAAAAAGGCAAAATTTATTGAAAGCTACCTGCAGCCAAGGTTTGTATTCCTATACCTGTATAGGTAAAAGTTGACATGATCAAGCCCAGCAATTCTAAACTTTCAGATTTACTGTTGGTTTTTTTTTTTCATTCACTAAGTTATAAGATTATTTCAGCTCTATTTTTTAGATTGTTTTACTATAAAGTACCACATGAGAGTCTGTTAGTCTTCAAATACATTCTTGTCATGTTTCTGCCTATGACTTCTAGTTTTAAATATTAGAGGAGGTAAGATAAAGAGAGAGACAGCAAGAATATTGAGTGGGGGCAGTGCATCTGAATTTTTTTTTTTTTTAAAGATTTTATTTATTTGACGGAGAGAGACACAGCGAGAGAGGGAACACAAGCAGAGGGAGTGGGAGAGGGAGAAGCAGGCCTCCTGCCGAGCAGGGAGCCCGATGCGGGGCTCGATCCCAGGACCCTGGGACCATGACCTGAGCCGAAGGCAGACGCTTAACGACTGAGCCACCCAGGCGCCCCAGTGCATCTGAATTTTGCCAGATCCTTTAGATACTTCCATTGAGCCCTTTCACCATAAGGCAAATTAAAGAATGGCCACTGGTTTCTTTTTGTCAGATGAACGAACTGCATGTGTTTGACTGTATGGACAAGTTAACTATCCTTTAACAGTTCTTGGAGCTAGTTCTGTGGTGAACATTGGCTAAGCCAGGCCACTTCAGGTTAAATGGTAAATACTGAAAAGTTCATTTATCTATCATCTATTAAGAGGTAGGAAGGACACTGGATTAGGCATTCTCTGTGAACCTTCTCCCATTGTCCCCCTCTCATATAATCTAAATAATCTCATATAATCTAAAGCCCTTCTTATACATCCATCCTGTAGTGGGTTGAATAGTGGCCCTCCAGAACATGTCCATGTCCTAATCCCTGGAACCTGTGATAATATCTTATATAAAAGGGTGAATTTTACCTAAATAGAAAAAGAATCTCTGCAGATGTAATTAAGGATCTTGAGTTTCCAGAGAATAAAAAAAAAAAAAAATAGATCACATACAAAGTAACTGAAAGCTGAGTATGTCTTAGTAGCATTATACTTTATTAATAAATAATATTGTTGATACCAATTATTAAATATATTATCAATTAATATTTATTAATTTGTTAATAAAGTATAATGCAATTAAGAAGTACTCAGCATTAACTGCAGTGGACTTTATGAAGAAGTTTTTTGTGAAGTTAGTGTGAGTCCTATTTGCTTCCTTTCCAGTTTTTTCCAGATTTTATTTTAAAATTTTAGTTACATGCTATAGAAATTTATGATGACAGTAAAATGGAATAATTTTTGAGTTTTTGCCCCAAAATGTTTACCATGTGCCTACCTTCTTTGCTACAACACACCATGAACTAGGATGAGGTTGAGAGGATTTGTACCACTCACAGTAACAATTATTAGAGAGATTTTTCAATTCAAACTTGCAAACTACAGGTCTGCTGTTTTGGATATTTCATAATTTTAAAATATAT